TTTTTTAGAAGTTTTTTTTTTTTCAGTGCTGATTGCTATATTACAAATACATATAACATTAATGTATACTACCTTTCAGAAGTTTGCTTGAATATATTTAATGGTAACACTTTAGAATTGGGAGCACATATTCACTATTAACTAAGAGATTTCCCTGAACAAACTCCTAATTTGCTGCTTATTAATAGTTAGTAAGTTATTTGTTAAGTTTAGGTACAGGGTGGATTAAGGGATCTAAAATACGGTCATGCAGAATAAGGCATTAATATGTGCTTTATAAGTACTAATAAACAGCCAATATGCTAGAAATATGCATGCTAATAAGCAACTAATTAATTGTGAGAATTGGTCCTTAAAATAAAGTGTTACCTGTTTTGGTAATGGCAAAGCTGAATTTTCAGCAGCCATTACTCCAGTCTTTTTTTTTTTTCAGGATTCTTTGATCAATAGAACAGCATTTATTTGAAAAAAAAAAAAAAAAAACTTGTAACATTAAAAAAACTTTTATTTCACTGCTGTCACTTTTGATCAATTTAATGCATACTTTTATGAATAAAAGTATTAATTTCTATTTAAAAAAAATTTAAAGAAAACTTCTGGATGGCAGTGTATGTCAATATTGGTAAAAAAGCATGTTAAAGTGTCTTTAAAAATGTCAACTTTTGCTCTTTAAACCACATTTAACATGAAATTGTTAACTAAATATACCACAAGCTAGTAGAAAACAGTCCTGAGATTACCTTTTCAATATATAAGTCTATTCCATATCAGCATGTCTTCCAGCTGGGTGTTCAATCCATGGTTATGGAGTATTTACTAAAGGGAAGTCCTGCGGACTCTATCTTGAACCCCAGAAATGAAGCATGAAATTATTCCATCTTGACCCAACTCTAGAGAGCAGGTCAATCATGTCGAGAAAAATACCATAAAAATATAAAGTTGTACTCAAATAATGTGTTGTCGGGCTTCATCCATATAAACTAGCTTTAGTACTGGCTGGCAGAGTGAATAGTCCCATCTCTCTTTTTTTTTTACTTCAAGACCCCCAAAGGAAACTCTTCTGCCCCACAAAGGCAAGCAGAGACAATAAGGTCCATCATGAATTCAGCTTATGTAAATTGTGATTCTTCAGCACACATCCAATTTGGTCCTGGGTTAAATGACTAGATTTATCATTTATCCGACACAAAGTCGACATAACATAGTTAAACCTTGGAAGTTCCAGTGAATCTCTAAACTGACATGAGGCAAAGCAGCTTTAAATTTGAAGTTGAACTGAAGTTGCTAGAAGAATTAGACATTAAAGTTCAACTCAAACCACACACAGGCCAAACATGACACATACAGTACACTTGAGGGTTGTTCAGTTTGTCACATTCATGACCTGCATGGCTAAAAAAAGACACAGACGTCTATTTAGATCTATGAATCTGTCAGATCTGTCAGATCTATGAAACAATCAGTCTGCTGGAGATCAGATCGTTTCGACAGCCAGCAAATCAACCCAGAATGGAGGAAGATTGACAGAGGAGAGGCATTAAAGGGGTCATAGGATGCCCATTTTCCACAAGTTGATATGATTCTTTAGGGTCTTAATGAAAAGTCTGTAACATAGTTTGGTTAAAATTTCTCAATGGTAACCACCTTTTTTTTACCCTGTCAAAAACAGCTCTTTTCAGATCAAGCCGTTTTTGTAGCATTTTCCTTTAAATGTTAATGAGCTATGCTGACCCCGCACAGGCATCTGCGATCGGCTCGATTTGAGAAAGGGTAAAGATTTTAGTAGATTAACAAAAAACCACTGGGTGGATTTTTATCATTTTAGGGTGGTTGTGTACACACACTGCCAACACACATTTCAGTTCAAACAACTTGTAAAAGTGCATGTAGCGTCCTATGACCCCTTTAAGAATAACAGGAGATCTCCTGCTGAAAAGACAAGTCTGAGGCGGCCTCCGTCAACAGAAAGAAACATCATTAAACAAGGAAAACAAACAACACAGGAAAGGATTATTCACTGCAACATTGATTTTCTAACCAAAAACAACATTCCTACAGAAGCTGGTTAATAGCAAGGAAAATAAATCTTCCATGTTGAGAAACAGATATTTATTCAGCTAGTTGTTAAGGTAAAGATAAGACATAAAGTTATCAGTCTTATCCATCTACAACTACATTAATCACAATTAAGGTGAATACACAACAAACTAGAATACTCACTAATTTATATAACTTGACATTATAGTTAAAGTCATATTAATGAGCTAAATATTCTGCTAAAAAAAGACCTAAAATGTGAATCTTTTAAAAATCTGTTCATTTACAACAATCGTCTGAACAAGCTGATTCAAAACTACTCAGCCTTTCCAATGCTACATATGAGAAACAGAACCATTTAAGATGAACCGGTTCACTAGAATGAATCAGCGTTTTCAAAGCTATGAGAAAGGGTGCTGTTTAGGGTGAACTGATTCACTAGAACAAACCAGCCTTGCCAATGCTACATATGAGAAAGAGAACTGTTTAGGATTAACTGATTCACTAGAACGATTCAGTTTTTCCAATGCTACATACCTGTATGACAAAGAGAGCTCGTTAGAATGAAGCAATTCACTAGAACAAATCGGTTTATATTGCTACATATGAGAAAGAGAGCCATTTAGGGTGAACCGGCTGACTAGAATTAACTGAACTTGTTAGTGCTACATATGAGAGAGAGATGAGGATGTCTTTGATTACCTCAGTTTTCTCAACAGAGAAGTTACTTGTACAATACAGCATTAAACATCAATGTAGCGTCTGAGTGCACTACACCACTAAATGTTGGGGTTGGTAGTAGATTTTAGTTATTTACTCAGCATAAATATCACTGTAAAAAAAAATCCATAAAATTTACGGTAAAAAATACGGTAGCAACGTTTTAGGTTTTACGGTTTTAACTTAAATTTACAGTTAAATACCGTAATTTCATTAACTGATATAATGTTAATATACCAACCTATTGAAGTACTGAAATCTGTTTTGTACCTTTGTAATACACTGATAACCACCAAATGCAGGTGGTGATGAGAAAGTCACACAATGAACCAAAGCCTATCACAAGCAGCTTTTAAATAATAAAATATATAGAAGGTGCACAGTGTCATTCACACAAACACCAAACACCATCATGGTAACACACATGAAACTGAAATAATGCAATAAACATTCATTAACAACATTACGTATAACACACAACCCTAATATACAAAACTGATAAGAAAAAAACTAAGAAGAAAGTTATTTTAACAAAAAAAACCCATCAAATTGGAAATGTAACGCAGGGAATTCTGGGAATGTCAATTTACGGTTATTCACTGTAAATTATACGGTCTTTTTCACTTCCAAAAATGGTATACTACCGTAAAATTAATGTCCAATACATGTAATGTCCAATACAGTTTTTCACCGTATATAGTAGGGGAATTTACCATTAACCATTTAACAGGTTTTTACTGTAGCATTTTTACAGTTTTTTACCGTTAAATTCACGGTCATTTTTTACAGCATGCAACTACAACCGTTCAAAAAATGTTTTTCATCTTTTGTTTTGCACTGACTGTAAGTCACTTTGGATAAACATATCTGCTGTTTGCTTTAAACTGATGTAAAAATATGATATATGTGTATTTTTTATTTGAAGGCTCTCACTTTGCTGCCTCATGTGTAGGACTTGCATAAGCGTGGCATAACAGGTCTGAGGTGGGCAACTCCTTCCTGTCCTAATATAATGTGTGTGAATTATTCATGCACACAGACTTCATCATCTGAAAGCCTTCGTGTCACACATAAACCAAACCTTGTAGAGTGAGCTAATGTCCCCAAACCGTGTAGCTGTGATAAAGTAAATGATATCCATAAAAGAGATGAGGACTTAATTGTGAATGCAAAAAACAAAGCTCAGTTTGGAGGGAAACTTTGACCTTGAAGGAAAACTTTTTTATACAGACTTCATTAGCATATTCAGCATCTTCTGCATAATCAGAATACTTAATTACCAGGTATCAAATACTAAATATTCACTTATAAGATCCAGCAGTCCTTCAATTTTTCATTATAATTACATAATGTTCTGACCTTTCTTTTGTGAATGTGCTGTCATTGTGAGCTACTGTACTGAATAAATCATACACATCCCATTAGTATCCTAAATCTGTGCATATTTCTCTCCTGATTCAGATGAGACAACGTTTTCACTGGAAAAAGCAATATTATGGATAGAGAACTCTTATTTTGGCCGGAAACAATGGTTTGACGTTAAAAAAGTCTTACTGGAGTGGTGTGGATTACTTGTGGATTATTGAGATGCTTTTATCAGCTGTTTGGACTCTCATTCTGACGGCACCCATTCACTACAGAGGGTCCATTGGTGAGCAAGTGATGCAATGCTACATTTCTCCAAGTCTGTTCTGATGAACAAACAAACTCATATACATTCTGGATGGCCTGAGGGTGAGTAAATTTACAGCACATTTTTATTTTCCTTTAATGTTAGCTACATTACTAAGTAAAAGATGCAATTGCTCCAATATAGGTTAGACACACAAGCACAAGATCCCAACAATATCACACACTGAGCTGAGATCTGGCATGAAAGTCTGCAATCCAAAGTCAAAGATTTCTATTCAAATATTACCCATCAAATTCTTTCAAGACCCAGTTATCTGAGCTATACCCACATTCTTTTTATAACTGTCTTACTCTAATTCATATATATTTTTATTTCTCCCTTAAGGAATTTTAGGAGAAACATCTGATATGAATGACACATATGAAACGTATTATGAAATATAACTGACAGCTAAATTAGGTCTCCTGAGCACTGAGAGAAATAAAACGTTCCTCTGGGACAAACACTACAAAATTCATTATTGTAAACCATTCAACCAATAGTAATTAAGAAAAAGCAGACCTACCCAAGTATTTGAAAAAAAGCCCACAATAATGAATAACAAATGTACCTTCGATGAAACTCTGTATGGCAGTTCTGTACGCCGGGGCAGTGCCAGACTGAACCACCACTACCCTGTGCCTCCTCATGGGCCTGTCCCGCCGGCTACAGCCAGCCTACCTTCACCCCAATTCAGCCGCGGGAGTCAACCGGCCCGACCTGGGCACTGCTGGGAGCAGAAAGGGCAAGAACAGCCACAGTCCAGAACACAGAACATGTTACTGTGCATTTCAAGATTGTTAAAATAGGAGACAAGAGCTTTCAGTGAACTAACATCCAGCCGCATATATAAACAAAAGCATATAAGCCAGATCAGATGCTCCTAACAGATCAATGGAGCCAACCTCTGCTGTCCAATGTACTCAACTCTGGCCCCAATCAATACTCTTTTGACTGTATTGACTTCGGAAATGTGTGTCTGTGGATGAAAAAATCTATAAATGGCAACTATAATGTAACTGCTTTTTTAATAAACAGTGCAAGTGGGTAAAATATTCATCCATTTATGAATTATATACATGTATGCATTAGAACAGTCAAAGTTAACATGTTAATGTATGTGATTGTTTAAATGTTTAGTAAGTAGTATTGAACAAAATGGAGGAATAAAGGAACTAATCAATGATGAAACAAAGAAACGAATGAATGAATGAATGAAAGAAACGGGGAACAAAAGGAAGGAAAATAGAAAGAAAGAAAGGATGAGGAAACAGAAGGAAGAAAGGAAAGAATGAACCAATGAAAAGGAAGGATGGAATTAGAGATGAAACAGTATGAAAAGTTCTTATAACGATTATTGTGACCAAAATTATCACGGTTATCAGTATTATCACACGGTATTGTTAAATGTGCTGGAAATGTTCAAAAAGTACTGACACATAAATCGTTTCACCAAGTTTTATATTTAAAATCAACAAAGAACAAATAAATTACTTTTTGTTTGCATAAACACTAAAGCAATAACATTCCCACCGATGTCTGGATTTTAACATGACTGACAACAGTTTATCTAATAACGTGTATGAAATGTTCAAATAAAGCTTTGAAAAAGTTTCATAGTAAACCTCACCTTTCAGCCTTTAAATAAAGAAAAGCGTTAAGTCTTGATTAATAAATGGTCAGATGTATTTTTTCTGCTCCATAAATAATTGTAGATACCTTATCCGAATTGTTTAAATGTGTAGAATCCACATAAGCTTGTTTTTCATCAACCGGTCAAATTTACAGCAGGCTGAATGTAAATGTAACTCTCTGTAAATCCACTCTCTGACACTTGGTGCTGATTATGGAAGAGCAGAATTGGAGCTGTTTCCCGGTAACCTCCGTGGACAAAGCAGCATTGCGATAAGAACACTACTTTATTAGGTATTACATTGAGTGAAGATGAAAACAAAATGCCATCAAATCTTTTCTGAAAACTGTCTGAACCTTCAGAGGTACATTCATATAATGAATTCATTCATATATTCATTTGTATAATCAAAATCCCTATATATAGTCTTTGGTATAATTCCCTTAGCTTTCTTTTAAAACCTCCCAGCTTTCCGCCAAGTCTTCACACAAAACAAAACGGCTCTGCACGTTCTGCGCACATGAGACTGTTACTTAAAACTCCGCTTTATGCCAAACAGTATTTATTTATCCTGAGTTGTTCAAATCGCAGTAATTGACTATGGTTTTAATGATAATTAAAATATGAAACGGTAATACTAACCGTGGGGAATTGATTTATTGTCAAACCGGTAATTGTTTCATCCAGGATAAAAGGAAAGAAAGAGGGATGGAACTTACAGAATGAAGAAAGTAGGAAGGATGAACTAACCAATGATGAAACAAGCAAACAGATGGATGAATGAAACAAGGGAACAAAAAGATGGAAGGGAAAAGGGACGAAAGAAACATATGAAGGAAATGAAAGGAAGGAAGGAAGGAAGGAAGGGAGGGAGGGAGGGAGGTGAAAAGAAAGAAAGGATGCGATGAACCAGATAAATGAATGAAGGAAAGAACGAAAGGAAGGACTGAGGGAACAGAAGGAAAAAAGGAAGGAATGAACAAATGAAGGAAAGAAGTAACAAAAACTGAAAGAAGAAAGGAAGGTAGGAAGGATGAATTAACCAACAATGAAAAAACCAACAAACAAATGAGAGGAGGAGAGAGTCACATCTGTTCACCAGAGAGAGAGAGAGTAATAATAATGGACAAACAGCAGTGAGGACAGAGAGTGAGAGTAATGAACAGCAGAGTGCAGCAGATCACACACACACTCACACAGACAGTGGGGCGTGTCTCAGTGTGTCTCCAACTCAATTCACAGCTGTGTGTGTGTGTGTGTGTGTGTGTGTGTGTGTTTACTGAACTGCAATCTGCTTACTTATCAGACATCTAGGTGCAAACAGGCCGCCTCAGCTGAGATACTCACAGGAGGTGCTGCTACACAAATCAGTGTCAGTTTAACTTGCGTGCGTGCACACACACACACACACACACATTTGCAAACACTTGCAAAATGCAAACTTTTTCTGTACAGTGGGAGAAACTTATTCCACCATATTTTCATCTGCCATCCTCAGTGCTTGGTGAATATAGTCAGTCTGTAATTGCTGTTGTAACACGAGGTCAGTCCCGGGTGCTGCCGTCTCTCCACGACCCAAATTAACAGTCAATCTCACCCAAATCCATTACAGACAACAAGCCAAGCCCCGCTTCTCACATTCATTTCTCTTCCTCGTTTAGCTTCTCCTCTCTCCTCCTTTTCTCCTTTCCTAGAATGTCTCTGATGGTTGTTAAAGGGTTACTATACAGTTGCTAATTGGTTATTAGGGCATTGTCAAGAGGTCTTGGGTGGTTGCAGAGTGGTCAAATTAGTAGCCTGATCTTATTAGCGTTCATAATGTTTACTCATACATTTTGTGCACTAAAACACTGAAACAAAATATATAGATGCATTGATGGCATCTAAAAATTTAGAAATAAATCCTTTACATTATATTACAAATTTATTTTATTTCTGCATTTTTTTATTTCTGCAACCCTTAAGAGCGCACCCCTAAACCTAACCACTTGTCAACAAACATAAAAACTGAAAAGGTAAATTACATTTATTTTAGTTCCAATATTTTATAGATTTTTTTAAGCTTCTGAAGACTTGGAATATAATGTTGCAATAAATGGATTATGGTTATAATTATAATATACATTTTAATAATTTCAGCAAACAAAGCTATAATTAAGTAACTTTTATAAACAATTAAATAACAAGTCTAGGCTTAGGTAAATGCTTAATAAATGTAACAAGAAATAAAATAAATAAAGGCATACTCCACCCAAATATTAAAACTCTGTTATAATTTACTCATGTATTATGAGAAATGTATTCTAGTTTTTTTAGTTTTTTTTTTAATGGAGGTCTACGGGCCCCAATGTTGTTTGGTTTCCAAAGTTCTTCAAAATAATGTATCTTCTTTTATGATACACTGATGAAAGTAAGTCATACAACATGAGGATGAGTAAATGATGACAGAATTGTAAATTTTGGGTGAATCTCTTTAACTACAATCAAATCATTGATAATATCATTCATGTTCGTACAAATGGCGCGGGATGAATTATCCAAGTTTAATATTTTAGAGAATAGGGTTTGTTTGACTCCCAGAAAGAGCAATAGTAATTGCCTTAGCAATTACTCTCCACACTTGTATTCAGAAAACATCTCTCTCTTGTCTCATTCACACAGACAGTCTCACAGAGAGTAGAAAGATATGTGTTCATAAGGTATGAACTCACTCAAGTCCTCAAAGGACCCAAATGTAATCTCTCTCTCTCTGTCTTTCTGATTGTTGCTTTATTCTCCAATCACTGTATTCTCTTGCTTTAATTGCCATGTTATCAGACTCTCCCCAGCTCCCCCTCTCTCTGCCTGACAGCTATGCCAATTACCCATCTGTATTGTGTGCTGTCTGGGCAGGGAGGCTCCAGGTAGCCAAGAGAACCAACACTGGCCATTTAGACACAGAACAGAAAAGAGAATAAAAGCTGCCGCTCTTTATACATTCACAGTCTCTCCATAGACTCATGTGCTGAATGAACACTCTCTCCATCTGTCTGCCATTGCTATTTTTCAAGACAGGAAACAAAGCTACTACTGGCAAATGTTATAAATAGATACTATAATTAATAAAAAATATTGTGGTATATGCTAAGCAGTTCATTATTTTTTAGCATTTATTCCACAGTACAGCCAGGCTAGTACCTACATTTTGACTATTAACTATTAATACCAGATACTAGTATCAATCTGTGCCATTAAGTCTGCAGGTTTGCCTTTTAAGTTTGCTTTTTAGTCTACTTCACTTCTACAGTCCTGCTTTGCAATGAGTTTAGGAAAGTCAGTGGATGATATCTTTTATGCTATCTGTCATTTTAATAACATGACCTAGTATGCTAGCAAGCTATAAACACACATAAATATTACCTTTGTTTTTATGCTAAATAGTGTTGTCCGGTATTAAAGGGGTCATATGATGCTGCTAAAAAGAACATTATTTTGAGTATATGGTGTAATGAAATGTGTTTATGCGTTTAAGGTTCAAAAAACATTATTTTCCACATACTGTACATTATTGTTTCTCCTCTATGCCCCACCTTTCTGAAACACGTCGATTTTTACAAAGCTCATCGGTCTGAAAAGC